AAAAAAAAAAAAAAAAAAAAAACCTACCACTAGACTCAAAGTCTTATTTTTCAATCCAAGTAATAAAGAGGAGGAATCAGGGGTTGGTTTAAAATTCTCTCAGAAATTATACTATTAGTTTGGTGTGCAAGTAATTGCTGTTTTTGCCATTAATGTAACTGAAAAAAAGGCAATTACTTGTGCACCAACCTAATACATAAACAGAAATGCCTTAAAGAAAGTATTTGGGAACAATATCAACATCATTCCTGTAACAACTTTTGTGACAGAAGGATTCTCCTTAACGTTAAAAGGATTCTTAAGTGACCCCTCCCCGCCCCACTCTGCAATACTCTTGAAGACAGAATTTAGTTTCTTCGAAATAAGCACTGCCTCTACCTAACAATACTCAATCACTAAATTTGGTGAAAACAGTAGTATCCGGCTTCTATTTTTTTTTCCTATGAGCAAACATGACTATAGAGATAATGGCAGGTCTGAAATTACATCTGATACGGCCTTGGTTAGTAACTATGGTCTAGAATCTACATGGAATAATCTCTAGTAACACAATTAAGACAACACCTTCAGATTCAAAGAAAAACCAAAATCTTCAACCTAGTGAATTTTATACCAAATGAAGTAGGTGTAAAGAGATCAAAGTTAACTGTGTTTAGCTATATTGGGGTGAAATGTTTAGAAAGATCCAAAAAAGGCCTGGTGTAATGGCTCACGCCAGTAATCCCAACACTTTGGGAGGCCGAGGTGGGTGAATCACTTGAGGCCAGGAGTTCGAGACCGGCCTGACCAACACGGTAAAACCATGTCTCTAGTAAATATACAAAATTAGCCGAGTGTGGTGGCACACGCCTGTAATCCCAGCTACTCAGGAGGCTGAGGAAGAAGAATCGCTGGAACCCGGGAGGCGGAGGTGACAGTGAGCTGAGATTGCACCATTGCACTCAAACCTGGGAAACGAGCAAAACTCCATCTTAAAAAAGAAAAAAGAAAGATCCACAATAAAAACAACACAAAACTGTTCGAGGCTATTATTTCCTTTCCTAACCTGTATTAGGATGACGTTTTGATAAAAATATTCCCAAATCTGACGAAAGGGTCTTCTTCAAACCTGAGACTTTTTAGATGTATAACATGTGAAAAATATTTTTATACTATTTTTAGAAACTCTCCTACTGTTAAGATTAACTCTGAAAAATCAAATACCATAGGATTCCAATTATATCCAAATTTGGAAGGAGTATGTTCAGGAATATAATTTGCCATGGTTCTATTTTAAAATGAATTAAGGTCTGGCTATTTTAACAGAATAAGACACAGGGGTCCAAAGTCTAGTCTCTCATGATACAGCAAATTGTGTCGTATTAGGCTGTATTAGACATAACAGAAATAGAAAACAACCTGCTGAGCATAGTGACTCGTGCCTAGAATCCCAGCTGCTCCGGCGGCTGAGGCAAGATGATGGCTACAAGACAGATTTTCAGACCAGTATGGGCAACACAGCAAGATCCGAACTCTGAAAACGTTTAAAGTAGCCAGACATAGTGATGCATGCCTATAGTCCCAGCTACTACACTGAGGTAAAAGGTCTGCCTGAGTCCAGGAGTTTGAGGCTACGTGAGCTAAGATCATGCCACTGCACTCCGACTGGAGCCAACAGTGGGATCCTAGATAAATATTTTTTTGAAAGAAGATAAACTGAATTCAGTCCAGCTCTTTCACTTTGCAGCTATGTAATCTTGGAAGAATCATCTACTTCCTTTTTCATCAGAAATACTCTGAGCACACATTTGGTAAGTCCAAAACACTATGAAAACAGAAGTTATATTATCTCAGAAAGATCAGTCAATGAAATAACTGGGTTTATATTAGACACCGAAGGTTCCTTCTCAAAATAACTGCCATCAGGTTTTCCTGCCAGAATGTCCAAGAAAAAAAATTTTAAACTCACACAGCCATTAAAAGAGTATCTTTGGGCCAGGTGTAGTGGCTCACACCTATAATCCCAGCACTCTGAGAGGCCGAGGTGAGTAGATCACTTGAGGTCAGGAGTTCAAGACCAGCCTGACCAACACGGTGAAATCCCACCTCTACTAAAAATACAAAAACTTAACCAGGTGTGATGACACATGCCTGTCATCCCAGCTACTTGGGAGACTGAGGCAGGAGGACTGCTTGAACCTAGGAGGCGGAAGTTGCAGTGAGCTGAGATGGCCCCACTACACCCCAGCCTGGGTGACAGAAAGAGACTCCATCTCAAAAAACATACATATATATTTTGGACTGCCAAAGAAATCTTCAAGTTTACAAGGGCCTTACACATGAGATGTAGATGTCTAAAATTTCAGTGTTACAGGGAGGTTTCGGCTTTCTGTTAAGAACTCTACAAAGTACTGAGTTTCTATCAGAACAGGTTTTACCTTCAGGAATCTTCTCCAAAACGCCCAAAGTGAGTAAGGACGGTACAAACCTGGGAGCCAAGAGTTGTCTGAGTCTCCTTCACTTTGGTCAATATCCTTGAACCAGTGTATGAACCAGTGCATCCTTGTACCAGTGTATGTATCTGAATGTATTTGAATGGCCTATACTTAAAATGGCTTGTATGATAGTACAGACAAACGCACAAACACCTATGCACCTGAAGAGCACAAATGAATCCATGAAATCTTTCTGTAAATAAATGAAAAATCCACTGCAAAAAAATGCAATGTTAACCTGACTAAGTATGCACAAGGAAATTCAGTTATTACCAGTAAATTAAAATCAGCCAAATATATTCTAAACGCAGAGCAAGTTAACAGAATAATCTACATGCCAAAATAAAGGCCTAATTATACTGAGTAAATGATCTTGTTTTCAGTAAAATGACACAAAAAGAAAAGAGCAACACCATCTAAAGTCAGGTAGGCCAGCTGAGGGTGGTGGTACTTGCCTGGAATCCCAGGAACTCAAGAAGCTGAGGTGGGAGCACTGCTTAAGCCCAGGAGTTGGAAAACATAGTAA